CTGTTTATTTACATTTTTCAATGTTTGTTTACATTCTGGGTTTGTTTATTTACATTTTCAATGTTTATTTACATTCTCGGTTTGTTTATTTACATTTCCAATGTTTATATACATAAAATTTTCGAAATTTTCGAAACTTATTTGAAGAATACTTACCTTTACTTACCTTTTATTACTTACCTTTTTACAGCTATCTAATTAATTGTTTTTCAACAGTTTTCTTAATTCTAAAGGGTTAAGGAATATAGAAACACAGGAATATACAGGACTAAGGATTATGGATAATAGGAGCATAGGAACACAGGAATATTCAGGATGGAAAAATATGGATAAAAGGAGTGTAGGAACATAGGAATATTCAGGATTAAGGAATATGTATAACTGGAGTATAGGAACACAGGACTATTCAGGATGGAGAAATATGGATAATAGGAATATAGAAATAGTATAGGAATATTCAGGATTAAGGAATATAACTGGACTATAGGAACACAGGACTATTCAGGATGGAGAAATATGGATAATAGGAATATAGGAATAGTATAGGAATATTCAGGATTAAAGAACATGGATAATTGGAATATAGGAACTCAGGAATATTCAGAATGGAGAAATATGGATAATAGGATATAGGAACACAGGACTATTCAGGATGGAAAAATATGGATAATAGGAATATAGGAATAGTATAGGAATATTCAGGATTAAAGAACATGGATAATTGGAATATAGGAACTCAGGAATATTCAGGATGGAGAAATATGGATAATAGGATATAGGAACACAGGACTATTCAGGATGGAGAAATATAGATAATAGGAATATAGGAATAGTATAGGAATATTCAGGATTAAAGAACATGGATAATTGGAATATAGGAACTCAGGAATATTCAGGATGGAGAAATATGGATAATAGGATATAGGAACACAGGAATATTTGGGATTCAGGAATAAGGAAAATAGAAGTATATGTATTATACTTATCTTTTTACTGCTACCTCCTATTTATAGCTGTTCTTTGTGGCATTAAAAATTTGTGAAATTTACAAAATATTAGAAACATTTATTATTTATCATTTTTATCATTTAGATATTTATGATATATTATTTCAATATTTTTTTATTTTGGTACAATTCTTCTTTCATTTAATGATAGGAATAAACTTAATAATTTTTTAAAATGAACTGAATTTCTTGGAATCTTCGAAAATTACGGAAAAGATGTCCAAATACTGAAAATTTCAAAATAATAGAACTAATGAACATTAATCCCATATTTACGTTCACATACTTACTTTTTTACCATTTTTCTGTTTTTTACCATCTTTCTTATCATTTTACTGTTGTCATTGATTAATACATTTTTTTCTAAAGTTTATAAAAATCTGTATATTTCTTTCATCTATCTTCTGTCACAAATAGTGATCTTTTATGCATTCCTAGTCATTTTAATAATTTTTAAATAATTCAAAAATATACACAATTTTTATATATATACATACAATTCAGAATATTTTGTGCTCTAATAATATTAAAGTATAATAATTAAAATAATACAAAATAACAAAAATATCATTAAAAGATCTTTAAAATAAAAGGTAAATGATATCGAGAGGAGCAATTTTTTTTATATATAGAAGCATAAAAAATACATTAGAATGAATACTGTTTCTTCAAATAGAAATGTATATTTTTTAATATTCCAGCTGTTGTATCTTGGCATTCTCTATAAAAAAATATTCAGGCGTACATAGCAAAAAACTTATGGTTTAAAAAATAAACAAATTTAATTAAATATCTCTTAAACTAATGGTTTTTTGCTATACATGGTTTGGAGTTTTTTTATAGAGAATATCCTGATACATTGACTGATGTATTAAAAATTATACGAATCCATTTAAAGAAATAAAATTGGCGTTGATAACTTTTTTATGAGTCCACCTACAAAAAAACTAAGGTTATCAGAATATAGCTCTTTCGATACCATTCAACTTTTATTCGAAGCATTTTTTGATATTATTAAAAATAAGCGAGATATTCAAGAAGAAACATTAAGGCCGAAAATCCCTAAGCGATAGAAAAATTTTTGTCCAAAAATTCGATTTTGTATTAGGAGAACATGATACGATAGGAGGTCGATCGAAAAATTTTTCCAAGAAATGACGTCAAATTCTCGGAATCTCTAAATTTCTTGGAACTGATGTCAAATTATAGACCGAATGAATGAAATTTTACTCGAATCTCCCTTTGTATCAGGAGAACATAATTTAAAAGGAGTTTTTTGTATTTATCATATATTTACCGTTCTCCCACTTACTTTTTTATCCATATAATTTGTTTGATATATATTTGTTTGATCAATGTTTTTCGATCAATTTTTATTATATAACATATTTCCATTTATATTATATATTTATATCCATGAATTATTAAATAAATTTAAATATATGCAATTGCAATTAAATAAATTTTAAAATATTTATCATTATATCTACTTATATCTTAACGTTATGATTATTAATTTATTTCAGTTCTGCAAGTAGAAATTGGTT